TAACGAAATGTGAGCAACCGACAGAAAGAAGCGTGTTCACATTTCAGAGCTGCTCGTCTGATCTGCATCTTCAGGATTCAGCTTTTTGTTTTATTCTTAATCATGCTCACACACACACACACACACACACACACACACACACACACACACACACACACACACACGTACAGAGCTGTTAGACTCATTAGCATTCTGTCTGGATGTATTGTCTTTTCCCCACTGACATTTACATTTAAATTGTTTATCTCTCCGTTTTATGTGTGTGTGTGTGTGTGTGTATGTGTGTGTGTGTGTGTGTGTGTGTGTGTGGGGCTACGTGTGTGTGTGTGTGTGTGTGTGTGTGTGTGTGTGTGTGTGTGTGTCTACGTGTGTGTGTCGCCAGTAATGAACATGCCTCCACTGGTCCCTGAAGGCAGCCATTACTAACACACACAGAGGATAATGTGGGAGGAGGAGGAGAAGGAGGAGGAAGAAGAAGAAGAGTATTTGTAGCAGCTTTGGGATGCAGGATCTGAAATATTGAGGTCTTGTTTGCGATTTCTTTCCGAGGCTTTAAATGAGGCCGGTTTCATGCATATGTAAGACGTTCTAGGTCTTACCGTCAGATATAACAGAATATTTTTCCCCTGGTCTTTAGTGTTTTGATCAATTGAAAGCTGTGATGTTTGTACTGGAGTAATGCAGTTCACTTTTTATCATACAGTAGAATAAACATATTCACAAAAACACCAGGAGACATAAGAACATTATTATTTAGAAAGAGCCACCACCCCCCCATCAGGTGTGACATCACCCTGCTTCTCCTCCTACCAACCACACCTACCGCTAAAGACACTGAAGTGAATCCTCTTAACGCATTATCATAACACCGTGCTATAAAAAATGAAGGTTGTGTCTGAATTCATTGATTTCAGTGCAGAATCGAGTAAATAAGGATTTGTTTTTCCAGGTGAGAAGATACAGGAAGTGTGGGGTGGGAGAGCGTGGGGTCGACATGCATCAACCAAAGGGTCGGGGCTGGGAGTTGAGTCTGTGATTGATGCATCGAGGACTGGCTCTACACAGTGAGCTTAACTGGCAACCCTGAGTTTGAGTTTTTTATTATAATAATAATAATACATTTTATTTATAAGCGCCTTTCAAGACACACAAGGACACTGTACAACAATCAACATTTAAAAAAACAACGATGGATAAAATGAGCAGACAATAAAATAAATTAAATGTAGAACTGTGGAGAAAATATAAAACTATAAATCCCACCAAAGTGCTCTGTGGATGGAAATAAAAAAGAAGAAGAGGTTGTAAGATGATGTTGGACTTTTAGACAAAAACATGGCGTCTTTGTTTCTGGATCTTTCAGTGGGAAATAACAGTTACTGCTGCTGCTGCTGCTGTTGATATTTGGCTGAAATACGATCTTGAGAAGTGTTTCTGTACCATTTATACAACGTGAGGCAAACTCAAACCCACCACACTAACAACAGGAACAATGCATGATGGGACGATAGAATAAAAGGAAGTGGAAGTGAGGAGGCTGTGAGTCATGTCACCACAACAACGCGAAAAAATCAAAGAGAGGAATCGACAGCAAAAGTTTCAAATATTCGTCTTTCAGAAATACAAGGAAAGAAGGGGATGAGGATTTTCTTTTTTTGGCTGTCAGACTCGTCGCTGTCTTCACCGCGGAAATGAAAAGTCAGCTCGTGTAATCAGACAAACAAAGACGACTTAGAGATTCAGAGAAATGTGTGCGGCGGCTGAGATTAAATAATCTGACTACAGTTTCTCTCTCCATGGTGCTGACGACCGTTGAGAGAGAATACACAACCTACATTCGTTTGTCAAGATGGAGTGAGCATCATGAAATCATATTTAGGCGTGCGTCTGTCCGTGCGTGCGTCCGTGCATGCGTCCGTGTGTTTGGAGGGCTGCTGATTGGTTGGCTCTCTCCATCTGGCTGCTTTTTGTCTATAGGCATGCTGCCCTGCACAACAATTACGCTCCCATGCATGAAGATTTTGTGTGTGTGTGTGTGTGTGTGTGTGTGTGTGTGTGTGTGTGTGTGTGTGTGTGTGTGTGTGTGTGTGTGTGTGTGTGTGTGTGTGTGTGTGTGTGTGTGTGTGTGTGTGTGTGTGTGTGTGTGTGTGTGTGTGTGTGTGTGTGTGTGTGTGTGTGTGTGTGTGTGTGTGTGTGTGTGACAAGAAGGGGAAGAGAAAGAAAAGGGTGGGGAGGGCATGAGGAGGGGGGGGAATCCAGATGTTGGGTTCATTCTCATTCTACCCCATCCATTTATTTTAATCCATCTTCCTCCCCCACAGCATCGTACTGCATGCCATCTGTAGACACACACACACACACACACACACACACACACACACACACACACACACACACACACACACTGCCTCGAGCTCAGCCAGGTGGCTGGGTGGCCTCAAATGTGTCCTGGTGCACCTCTGGCTCTGTGTTGATTGGAGTGAAAGCAGCTCGTATGAAATTAAGCAGAGCTGCTGTTAAAGTGGGTCACTGTGTGTGTGTGTGTGTGTGTGTGTGTGTGTGTGTGTGTGTGTGTGTGTGTGTGTGTGTGTGTGTGTGTGTGTGTGTGTGTGTGTGTGTGTGTGTGTGTGTGTCTGAGAGGATTTCAGTACTGTAGTTTTTCCTTGTTCTTCAGCTGTGGAGTCTTATGAAAATTTGATGTAAAGTATTGTACATGTGGCGAGCTGTCAGTGGTATGGGAGGATTTAAAAAGGATTTTTCGGCCGTTACAACCAAAAAAAAAAAATCTTTCTGTAAATTTAGACTTAAACAAAAAACGTTGTGCATTTTTAGTTTCATGTCGCTGCCTTGTGGTGTGTTTTACTGATGCTGACCCAGTAAGAAGACAGCGCTTACAAAAACTGCATCACGTCTGCTTGTTATATTAATAATCTGTCCCTCTCACATTCACCTTCTTCAGGCAGCATTTTAAAAAGATTTTTTGGGCCGATATCGATACAAGAAAGAGCAAAAATCTGATACCGATAAGTCGTCTGATATCTCGCTTTAATCCATGTTCGATCTTTAGAGATAGATAAAAAACATTTATTGTGTTGATCCCTCAAATGCAGTTATCAAACATTTGTAGAAAATATTCATAACAAAGACAGGATGGTCACTCAACTGGAAAATAACTGAGCAGGTACGTGCGTCACAGAGCGACAACGCTTGTTGTAATCCATACAGCGCCCTCTGCTGGTGAAAGAACTGCTAGTGTAATACAATGAAACTCAAATAAAATGCTGTTTGACTGGTGAATAAATCTAGTCATTTTAGCGCATATCTGCGATTAAATTAGCCGATACTGATAGTCACTTGATGTTCTAATATCGTCTGATATTATCGGCTGGTCGATAAATTGGTCAAGCTCTAGTAGGACGCACATGTGAAGCTAGCATGAGCTAAACCAGATTTCCCATTCAAAGTGCCGATGCTGATACGGTTATCACCATTCCAAAATATTAACCTTTAAAACCACATTATATAAAAAACTTTTGACACCAAGGCATTAAAAATGAAAGACCAAGTCTTGTTTTTAATTACCGACGTGTTCACAGCGCTGCTACAGAATGAAAAAAGTCACCGAACAGTGAACACACACCGACTCATTTGAAACACCGTCAATCTGGGAAGTCATCAGCAATCATCGTCTGTCATCGCCTGATTGACGTTTATTCGCCTCTGGGAACAGATGGGAGTTTCTCATTAAGTCGCGGTGAAGCCGGCGGTTAGCATAAATGAGTTCCAGGCGAGACTTTCCTTTTTTCCGTCTGCAGCAAACATCGTCGCTTCTCTGGCCGTTATGTCCCAGAGTAGCGCTCGTTCTTAAAGTGTGTGTCTGTTCAGGAGTAGATGATAACTTTCAGAGCTTCAGCGGTATGAGCCCACACTGGAATTAAGTCCACCGAAATAACAACTTTTAAAAATGTTTGTTTTAATGAATGGAGATCTGATCGATCATTTCTGAAGCATCTCAGGTAGTCAGGGAATCTAAATGAGTCAGGCTGATTTGTGGCTGATCTGGTCGACATGTTTGATTCTTAGCTTCACTTTAAAAAGTAGAAATCTATGTATTGAGACAAATAAATCATCGTTTGAATACAGCTGATAGGAGCTGGTGTGTCATTAGCACGGATAGCGCTCCGTCTGCCGTCCACTCACCAAAGCCTGCTGAAACATAATTGGTCAATTAAGCTCAGACTACAAATGTACTTCAAAAAGAATGAATGCTGCGATGCTAAAAGTCCAGACCCCTGAGTACAGAATCTACATTTCCATGTAGGATCTGTAAATAGAGATTCTTATACTGTTCACAGAAACAAAAGGCGTAATGAGTTTAAAACACGTAGTATTTTAAAGTAGTTAAAGGTCACATTCCTCATCATATTACGTAAAATCAACTTCACCATGTTTCTCTAACACTAACATGTGTCTCTAGTCTGTCTCTTGTCCATTCTCTCCGTCTTTTACCTGCTCCACTTTTCAGAAAATGTGTGCTCAAACAGGCTGTTTGGAGATTTTCCCTTCATGACATCACAAAGGGCAGTAGCCCCTCCCCCAGGTGGGTGACACTCCCACAGCTAGGTGTTTGTTCTGCCCTCTGAGTCTGCCTTCTCAACGTAAACAATAGGACATGGAGCGAGAAAGCACCGAGTACGCCCAAGCCGACTCAGAGAGTGGGCGTGGTCAGACACAGCTCATTTACATATTTAAAGGTACAGACACAGAAACAGCCTGTTCTGAGCAGGGCTGAAATAGAGGGGTTTATAGATATGATCAAATACAGGATCAGAGTAGATTTAGAACAAGAAACTTCACAGACATGTTCTGAGGAGCTCTGAGAATATGTGACCTTTAACATTTTGATGGTGCTAATATTTTGATATAAATAACATACCTTACCATCTTACCATAATTTACTCTTTTTTTCTGATGTTGACTTCTGCCTCTCTCTCTTGCAGCCAAACATGACGTGAGCGGAAACAGTACTGTTCCTCCTTTTCCTGAAGGGACAGAAATGGTCATGTTCGGTAAGTGTTTGTTCACATTCATTTTTATTGCTTTTTAAAAAAAGTATTTGACACTATATACGTTATATACGTTACATTGCAGATGTTAGCTTCTATCTCATGATTTGAATACTATCTGATAACAAATTACTAGACTGTGTATTGCCCAGAGTTTAGATGTATTAGTCAACCATCCATCAACTTACAACGCATGAGATCCTCATTATTTAGAGTAAACAGGGCTCCACAGGAACTGCTGCCAGTGACGTGTATTTTGAGAAAAATGCAGCCAACCCTTTGCCTTTAGTAGCCGGATAAGTAGCTTTCTGTTTTGTGTTTTTCTTTTACACTGACAGATCCCTTTATATCAATAATATAAACACTTGAATCAACTTTTATCTGAATGTACACTTAAATAAATAATATAAGCAAACTAAACTTTAACCTGTGGCGCTCTCCATGGTGCTGAAATATCTCTGCAGCGCTGCCATATGACTTCTAAAGGAAAAAAAGTTCCTCACAAGTGGAAAAACATGACATATAATAGCATATATAAGAACTGGGGTGGGAATCACCAGAGGCACCACAATATGACATAATCACCATTTTAAACATTTTGCGATATGCTGTGAATTGCGACATAAATAACTTTTTTAACTGCTTATTATGTCCTCAAAATTAAACTAAATCTGTTTTGTTAAATAAGAAAACATTCTCATTCTATTCATCTCCCTTCAGTCTTTTTATTTCTAACCAAGGGGAGTCAGTCACTCTAATAAAAGTAAAACCCTGTAAAAGGATGCATGCACCTCACAAATCTGATCTGTTGGTGTTTCAGTCTAATCCAACTTAACTGGACACAAACATGTACGAACGACTGAACAACTGCAGGACTTTTTTAACAATGCAACTTGTTAAAAGCAATATGAATTCACAGACTGGGACTCCAATATTATGGCGACAGAATCAAAAAAAGAATGTACGACAATGTGATGACGGCTGAGCTCGGTTAGGGCCCGAAAAAAAAAGCCGTCTGAACAGAGAGCTATGTATGTCACAAAAAGAGGGCCAATCATTATGAGTGAGACGCTTTAAAGAGCGGTTTCTGTGCATATCTGCATTAAAAGAAATCCCTGAAACCATAAACTCATAGATTGAAAACGCTGCTGGTTAATGTTCTGTAAGTCAACTCAAACCTCTTCAGCTCATCTCACGTTCATCACTGTCTGCTGTTTCTGTTCCCGTAGGTATGGGCTGTTTCTGGGGAGCGGAGAGGAAGTTTTGGAGACAGAAGGGGGTTTATTCCACTCAAGTGGGATACGCAGGCGGATACACAGTAAACCCCACCTACAGGGAAGTCTGCACAGGTAGCTTTTGCATACCCGTACACACACACACACACACACACACACACACACACACACACACACACACACACACACACACACACACACACACACACACACAAACACACACACTCACACACTGGGCAACGTCTTGTCTTCTGAGAGTTAATAGATTGTGGAAAACAGACTCACATGAACAGAAGAGTGAATAATTTCCCTCCGGTCCTATTATACTGGGGCATGGATAAGGGTGCTATTGATGCCTGACCGCTCTGAGCAGGCTGTGTGTGTGTGTGTGTGTGTGTGTGTGTGTGTGTGTGTGTGTGTGTGTGTGTGTGTGTGTGTGTGTGTGTGTGTGTGTGTGTGTGTGTGTGTGTGTGTGTGTGTGTGTGTGTGTGTGTGTGTGTGTGTGTGTGTGTGTGTGTGTGTGTGTGTGTGTGTGTGTGTGTGTGTATTTCTTTGTAATGTGTGTCCAGACCTCCCGTTGATTCCCTCATCCAGCCAGTACCGAGTGGATCCATGATTACACCTGCATCACCACCTGTCTCGTTTACTTCATTTTAGTCTGTTCATATGAGTCTAAATAACTGTCAAACATTTTGAATTGATGGTTTGATTTATTTTAATTTCTGTCTTTATTACAGCTTAACAACATATTTCTTAAACATCAACCAGTTTGGCAGTATTTTGAACCGCACCAGAGTTCCTTTTCAAACAAACCAAAGAGCTCACCCCAGAACTCGGAGCAGCCACACAAAAAAGGCGGAGCGCTGTGCTTTGCTGCCTGCTGCTTTGCACCTTTAAGAAAAAGCTAAAGACCCACCTCCTTCATGATTACCTACGACCTTAATGATATTATTGACGACGATGATGATGGTTTTGTTTTTGATAAAGGCGATTTTAAGGATGCTTTTGATGCTGATTAGAACTCTCAAGAACAGCTGTCGATGTTGTGATTTGCCTCTGGTCACTTCCTGTCAGCACCTGTGCGTCTGATCAGACTTAAAGCTTATTGTTTCCACTTCCTGACGTTGTTTCCGCCTCTCTAGATCCTTACTTATGTCGTACTTACTGTCTTATGTACGTCGCTTTGGAGGAAAGTTTCTGCCAAATGAATTGTAGAAATTCTGTCTTTAACTTGATGAACCTGGTGTGAACTGTTGGATATGGTTTGAAATTAATGTTTTATTTTGGCAGAGTACGGAGAAACAGCAACTCTTGAAACCTTTCCATCTTTAAGAGAGAAAAACAAGATTGATCTGCATATTCATTGTTGATAAATATTTACGCTCAGATCAGTGTGGGGTTTTGAAATGTGCTGATTCAATTTGCATATTTTTTTCTTTGTCCTCTATGACTGGAGTTTTTAAAAAAAACACTCCCACAGTCTTCATTCGATTCTCCGTCGTAGTTCTTGTTTATTCATCTTTTTTTTTTTTCTTGTTGTCGGAGCCTTCGTCCTCGACAATCAGTGTTTTATTCTTCAGTGTTAATGGCTCAAAAATGTACAAAACAAAAGCCGTGGTTGTGTTTGCTCGGAGAACATCTGGGGTATGACTCACATTAAAACACAGAACTCCAACAACATGAAAAAAAAAACCTAAGAAAGAAAGAAACATTACAAATAACAACACAAGACTTCTACTGAGCCCCTTAAAGGCACAGTACGTTAATTCCACCACCAGGGGGCTCTCAATCAAAACAATAAGTTAGATGACGTCGAGGCTGGCGGGGAATCATGGGAGTGATTCTCTCTGCTCCTCCACCCCCACTGACGATGTATCCCCATATAATTTACATGACGTTACCACAGCAGCACACACAGCAACAGTACGGCAGCTTCCAGTAGCAGCTCCGGCGTCCTTATGTAGAAAAACTTGGCGATCAAGAGTGGAGGCGAAAATCGTAAACGAGCCCACTTTTCAGAGGTTATACACGCCCGTCAAGCGGCGAGTTAAGTGCTCCCTGGTGTCCTCGTCTGAGGCAGTGGAGCTGTAACGTCAGCCTGTCTTCAGGTGGACTGAAGATTTTGCTGAGACAGGATTTCCAGCACACAAAACGTGTGTCTGTGGTGCAAAGTCACCAAAATCTACAAGAAAAAGCACTGCTTGCAGTCGTCCATTATCTCTCGTAATGTTCCTAATGTTCTGTTTTTAACTGTGTAGCACTTTGTATGAATGGTGCTTAATGAATAAACTTGCCTTGCCTGTAGAAACAGCAGGCGTCCTTGAAGAATCTCTGTTGAGGAAGATATTTAACCATGTCCTCAAACAGGATCTGATGATGTAACCTCCTCTGTAACGATACTTTGAGAACCATCCACTGTCTTTGCCCTCAGTGCATCATGGGATTCCTCATGGCTTCGTGGTCAACTATCAAACCCAAAGTGAAATAATGTAAATATCAGATACTTGTACGGTTAAATGTACATTACGTGGGCAGCACATCTCTTTAGCTTCATTCCAAACCACTTCTTTATTTCCCACCTCGTCCGAGATGAATTTATTCCTGCGAGATTGGCCCAGCGAGGCGTTAATTTAATATCGACCGCTGCTTTGTCTCTGTTCACCAATATCCAGCGTAGGAATCCATAACTCCTGATATTAAAAAAGTAATAAGGCTCAGAGAGAGACACAGAGAGAGAGAAAGGAGTGGAGGTGGAATGAGAGATGGGAGGAAGATGAGGTGCAGTGTAATGGGTCACACTCATTACCACCACACCAGCTGCTATCTCTCCGTCTGAAGGAAGGATCGTTTGTTATGCCTGAACGTTGTTATCAGCTTTGGACTAATGGCAGCATCTCAAGGACAAAACCGGAATTTTCTTCCTCTTGCTGTTAATTCAATAATTTTGGAGAAACTTTGTAAGGTGTTTGTCTGCGTCCCAAATCGAGGTAACGAGAGTCTGGAAGCTCCTGGTTGGACTTTGTCTTCCAGTAATGGATCAAAAAGTGGGACATATATATTCCTGACCTTGGGAATGGCAATAGAAAGAATAAACTCAGCTCTACATCCATGTATTCACCATTTCTGGGGCTTCTCACCATTAAGAGTCGGAGCCTGTGTCCACTATGGCTATGGCCACTGAGTCCGCTGTTTTTGTGTCATTGCTCACATCACTCTTACGCTGATGGCCTAGCGGTTGTGTACAGAGGCTATAGTCCTCAAAGATGGCGGCCCGGGTTCAAGTTTGACCTGAGGCTCCTTCCCTTCATGTCATACCTGCTCTACTTCCTGATGTCCTACAGTATCCACTGTCCTATCAAATAAACACAAAATGCCACAAAATTAATCTTTAAAAAAAAAACATACAGTTCAACTTTTGGATTACTGCCCAACCCGTCGTCAATGTCACTTTTATGTCACCAACCAATCAAATCAAGAAGGTGGGACTTTCTTCTGATATCAACTTTGTCAAGAGCAATGGTGGAGAGGAGAAACTAATCCCACTCGTGTTTTGGAGGGTACCTTTTCCAGGTCTAGAGCTGCTGTTAATGCTAGGTCACAATTCATTGAGATCATTTTCATGTTTTCTCATGATCACGATCAGCTCCCTGATTGCTGCCAGAGCACATAAAGTGCCGTCAACTGTGCTTTTTGACCGTTTTTATGGTGGCCGACTTTAGTGATCCAACGGCCAAAAGATTTCCTGTTGGGAGAAATGTGAATTCAAAATCACAAAACAATACACCAACAAGACCGTGTAGCAAATGATAAAAAATATGGCAGACTAAACAGATGCTGAGCAGAAGTGGTTTAATTAAGCCAGTGGTGTCCAAACTTTTTTTCTTGCGGGCCAAAGTTGTCGTGTTAGAATCGCTCGCGGGCCACAGGTTTTGTTTTTTAAAATATAGTTGAAAAAATAGTAAGGCTTTGTAGATCAGAATCAAAAGGCTCGCTGAATAAACCCTTTAATAAAAGGAAATCAAATATTTTGATTTCTTCGTTCTACTTTATTTGTTTTTTTCTCAGAATCAAACCTGTAACGTGGTTCATTTTTTTGGAAAAGCTTTCTGCATTTAGCTCAGGTCATTAAATGGTTAAACAACAGTCCGCTTGTTTGCAAAAACTTTGCATAAGTTTTTTTTCATAGTTTACAAAAAATAGTAAAAGCTGTAGATTTAAAAAAAAAAAAACAACAACATACATGTTACTGAACATTTTCTATTTTAGGAATATTGTTCAGCCCTTGTTAACATGAAAAAGAAAAATAAGATAGTGTGCCAATCTTAATCAAGGCCTCGTGAAGTCACGGGCCGCAAAAAATCCCCTCAAGGGCCGCAAATGGCCCTCGGGCCGCACTTTGGACACCCCTGAATAAGCAAAGCTATCAGTCTATCAAAATACGTTTTTCCTTAAAATATGATAAACTTCAAATCAGAGTCCAAAGCTGTGTGTTTTTTTTTCTCTTCGCGTCTATTTTTAATTTGTCTCCTTATCAGTAAATTCAGTCCCTGATCTCCCTCTCTGTCTCTCTGTCTCTCTCTCTCTCTCTCTCTCTCTCTCTCTCTCTCTCTTTGAAATAAAACTTTTCCACTCAGCACCACCGACAGGTCTGGAGGTCTCCTGTTGTGATTATTTGGTATGCAGCTTTTTCTCTTCTTGTTTTCTGGGTTTTCGACTTGACCTGTATTTGGCAATGCATGAATGAATGAATGAATGAATGAATGAATGAATGAATGAATGAATGGGAGTGAATTGACACATCCGTTAAACTTTACAGCATATGCATTCCCTGTCTCGTGTTTTTGTATTTACAGGTCAGACAGGTCACACTGAAGTGGTGAGGGTCGTCTTCCATCCAGAGAAGATCAGCTTTGCCAACCTGCTCAAAGTTTTCTGGGAAAGTCACAACCCGACTCAAGGTAAAACCTCAGCCACACACACAAGCAGAGAGTTTTATATTAAACCAGACAGAATGGGAAGTATGTCTAATTTGTTGACATTTTAAAATGTACTTTCAAGGTGCTGATATTAAGTTAAAGGTTCAGTGGCTTTTCTGTCAGGAGAGTTTCCCTCCACTGGCAGCCCTGCAGCGTTCTGGCCCCATGTTAGGCTTCTAGAGAGAGCTGGCCAGTAGAAGGAAAGTGGGCATGTGAGGAGGGGGGGGGGGTCCTTAAAGATACAGCAGCTGAAAATTACCGTTCAGGCAGACGCTGAAATCAGGGTTTTTACTGACACCAGTATCAGATAAAATGGAGTTTTATGAGCTGTAAAGCTACTCTTTAGGTTTCACAGACTAAAAACATGAAAGGATGCTTGAAAGCTAATGTCAGCTAGCACAGCTAAGGCCTTCTTTATTCCATCGTTGGTGTTTGTCATGACCCAAATTGTGAGCTTTAGACCCTGTAAGCTGTACTTGATCAAAAAAGAAACACACCAAAGCTGTCAGTATTTTTTACTCTGGGGTTCATACATTTCTGTAAAAAAAAAAAAAAGAAAGAAAGAAAAAGAAACAGTTTCACTTTTGACTGAAGTCTGGGATTGACAGACTGACTGACACAAGTTGCCGTCTTTAGAGCCAAAACTCCTCGCTTGGCTCAAACCCTCGTAGCTCACCAAACATTGTGGTTGACAGGCTGACAAGCTGACATCGAAATGATGAAAGGATACATGATGAAATGATCAGCTCGCAGTCAAAAACAGCCTTCAGTTCCTGCCAAGACCGACGGGTTTTATTTTTGGAAAAAGCTGTCAGCTGTTGTTTTCAGATGATCTGATGTTGCCTCTGCCGAACGGAAAAAAAAAAAAGAGCAAGAAGGCTGAGATTAATTATGCGCTGAAATTCTGATTTGTGTTTGTGTGTGTCAGGGATGCGACAGGGGAACGATGTTGGGACGACGTACCGTTCTGCCATCTACACCGACACGAAGCCGCATTTTGAGGAAGCGTTAGCGTCCAAAGAGCAATACCAGAAGGTACACACAAATCTATTCATCAATCAGCCTCCTCCATCATCTCTGTCCTTATCTCTTCTTTGTTACTTCCTTCTTTTTCCCCATTTTATTGACTCAATTTCCCAGCATGCCCCTCTTCCGTCCTTCCCCCCTTTTTTGCGAAAGAGTCTCAGAAATACAAACAGAGGCCTCTTTGACGACAACAAACACATGAACACAGAAAGAAAATAAATCTGTCTGTGTGTGCATGTTGCATTTGCCATACATGTCCATATGCTTTTAAATTCAACCCCACCCCCAACACACACACACACACACTCACACACACACTCACACATACACACACGCACACCAACTCCCTCTGTTGAACTCTCTCCTGCTGAGACTTCTGCACCACTATCCCACCAACAGGGCTTGTTGCCTTGGAAACCGATGTGGAGGAGGTTGTACTCTATTGTACTCTTTCCTTTCTCTTTTCTGTTCTAGTGTAATCTGCTCTTCATTCAAATGTCCATTTGCTCTTATTTCATTTCCACTTCTCCATCCTGTCCCTCTAAAAAACATCCTTTGTCTTAACAAAGTCTCTCCGCTCTTTGTTTTTACTCTCTCGACCTCCATCGCTGCCGTAGTCCAGCCCCACATGAACAAATCGAAAAAACTGTATTCATGATGTGACAGAAACACGAGCTCATGTGGTTCCTGGGTTCAAGTATTTTAATGGGTTTGGGGGAGAAAAAAAAGCATGAATTCAGTTTTCTGTAGACAGTGTTGGTAACTAAGAGGTGGTGAACACTTCAGTTGTGCTTTTATTCTGAATCAAAAGCCACAAAGACTATTTGGTTAAACTTAGCATATTCTCCTTTTGAATCAGTTTAAATAAGTCTCAGAGCTCCTCAAGTTGAAGTTTCTTGTTCTAAATCCACTCTGATCCTGTATTTGATCATGTCTATAAACCCCTCTATTTCAGCCCTGCTCAAAACAGGCTGTTTCTGTGTCTGTACCTTTAAATATGTAAATGAGCTGTGTCTGACCACGCCCCTCTCTGGAAGGACTCTGGTGTACTCGGTGCTTTCTCGCTCCATGTCCTATTGTTACGATAGAAGGCAGACTCAGAGGGCAGAACAAACACCTAGCTGTGGGAGTGTCACCCACCTGGGGGAGGGCTACTGCCCTTTTGATGTCATGAAGGGAAAATCTCCAAACAGCCTGTTTGAGCACACATTTTCTGAAAAGTGGAGCAACCCTAAACCTAAGGTTAAACTGCCAAGATGAATGTAACAAGACATTTCAAAATCTAAACCACATAAATTAAACACCTCATGACCTCGAGACGATTTGCCCGTTTATTAACACAAACAGATCGACTGGGGATCTTCTTCAGGTCGAACGCTGTGGATGTCTTTCGATGATGCCCAATAGTTTTCCCATCAGCTCATCAAAAACATGAAATCAAATCAAATGTTTCATTTTTCTCCTCTCCAGTTTGGGAAAATTGAGATGAAAGCTTCTAAATACAGTAATCATGAGCCCAAACACTTTGATGTCTGAACTGATTGTAGATGTTTATTGGTTTGTCGAGACAAGAGACTGAACACGACTGTGCTGCTATTTGTAACTATTTGAACTCACGGGTGTGAGCTTCTTCTCTTTAAAGATTAACATCAAAAAACATCAAATCAAAACACTTCTGGAAGATTGAGTGCAGATTTCCATCGTCACCAGAGAATCAGCAGATGTGGTTTAAAGGTTTTTTCTTTCTAACATTTTTCCACAACTTTGTCGAATATTTCAGCGGCGGTGTGTTTGCATCAAAGCGAAAGTCAGATAGGATTGACACTAATTGCAGGGGGGGCGGTGCAGAATGCTTTAGTGTCAACTTGTGCATACAAAAACACAGAGA